GCATTTTTGTGATGGTAAAATAACGATGGTGTGCGCATATGAGCAGGTCCAGGACAGCACTCCACACGTGGGACATGTCATCCTCTCCCCTTCTTTTCCTTCAGTCTGTTTAATGTGTCGGTATATTGTCACGCAGCCGAATGACTTTGCTAAGCATTATATGTTAATCTTCTAAAAATGAGGACACTGGGAGAGTGGCTTGCTCCAATCATAGGTATACAAGCATACCATCAGTTCTGATATGCCTTCCTGTGCTATAAACCATAAATATGAACAACTGGAGAAAAATGACACGGTACATTAGGAAGCAGAGTATTCAGCTATATGATCTTAAACAATAGTTATTGCTGTTATAATACATCGCTATTATTACTTTGCCTGGGAATAGGACCAAGGGCCCTTCCATACTTTCTGCTGCCTTGTTCTGTTAATCTATCATTTTCTTCCTTGAACGAAGCCACCAGTAACAACCTTTCTTCCTTCCTCCACCCCCTCCCATACTAGGAAATCGCCTGATACAGCCTAATAACTTCTTCTAACTCACTGCCCAGAGCATTATCATAAGCCTACCCTTACCTACAAAATGAATGAGGAAAGCAAATAAAATGAGAATAATGAGAAGCTATTATGGAATGAGCTGATAATGACTATCAAATAGACGAAGACAATATCTAAATACATCTCAGGATTCACAATAATGAGACAGAGTCACAATGTTTGGAAACACATACACACACACACACACACACACAGAGAGAGAGAGAGAGAGAGAGAGAGAGAGAGAGAGAGAGAGAGAAACAGAGACAGAGAGAGACAGAGAGAGAGTTACAAGATATATCTAACATGGGGCCTTCGTGGACAGATAAGGAAATTGGGGGTTCTGAGAGGTAGAGCAGAGGTTTAACACCCTTGAACTTCTGAAGGGCACTGTTACAGGTTTGTCTTACACAGGTCGCCCTGTCTCCAGAAATGTCCTTTAAAGACCATTTACTCGGGCACACTCTGACTTGACTTAAGTCACAGTCTTTTTAGATCCCAAACCAGCCAGATCTCCGGTATTTGGAGTGGAGCAATCTCTCAATTGCCAAAATATCGACACAGCACATGTGAACACAACTCTAAAAGGCAGGCAAAGCCTGAGTCTCATACATCTGTTCTTACATTCTTTCCGAACAAACAGAAAGAAAAGGTGAAGGAAATGCCTTGCGCAGGGTCTCTGTTTCTCCTGGAATGAGGGGGAAAGCGCTTGCTAGGTTGGTGCATTGCAATTCCTGGCCAGAGCCCCGTAGTGAACATCACACATCATTTTGGAGATTAATGATGTGCACCCAGTTAATGGAAAGCAACAGATTAGGTCTCCGCTAACAGTTTTGCAAGTTATGTACATCATCTGTCTGCCTCATTTAGTAACAATCTCACTGGTCAATAGGAAAATAATGGGCTTAATACCAAAGCGGAACTCCATTCATGCACAGAAGACAGGTTTTTATTTTTTTATTTATCGGGAATAAAGAACATTACTCTCTTAGAGATGTGCAGATCCTTACTTATAACGTCATGTAACCAGAGATTGTATTTCCAAAGGACTTTATGTAAGGTTTGTTTGTTATTTAGTTAGCAATCACCTTAAGAATCTGCTGCACTGCTTTGCAGCCTACAAGATACCGCAGCAACTTTCTACCATAACACATAAGACAAATCTCATGTGACCATTCTACCTGTGTCCTAGGCTGAAGACGATTATTGTCCTGAAGACAGAGGCACACCAGTTCCTTACACTATGCTACTGTGATGACTGCCCACCACAGCAACTTTCTACCATGACACATAGACAAATCTCATGTGACCATTCTACCTGTGTCCTAGGCTGAAGACGATTATTGTCTGAAGACAGAGGCACACCAGTTCCTTACACCATGCTACTGTGATGACTGCCAAAATGAAATTCACCCCTCCTTCTTCCTCTCAACAACCGGAAGTGTGTACTCAAGGCATTCTTTTGCTTAACGTGGCTAGACAGCAAACCCAATCTGTCATGGCATTCATAGCCAGTATTCATATCCAGTCACAAGATGGACCAGCCATGGAGAGGAAGGATGGGCAGAACAAACAGAGTTCTATAAAAGCTCTGCTTGAAATAAAATTAAAGGATGAAATACCAAGCAACACAATGGATCATTTTGATGATACAGTTTGCCCACATCCTGAAGATAATTTTTCCCTGCAAGTCAAATTTCCTTTCTTTTAATTGATGCATTTGGGGGGTCTCAGCTAAATCATTTGATGATTTAGGCAATTGTATGTTATTAGTACTTTTCTCTAAAGAAAAGGTTTTCTTTTTTACTTTTTTTTAAAAAAAATTTTTTTCAATATGAAACAACGTTCTGAAATCTTAAGTGATTGCTTAAAAGACTTGGATATTTTCTATGGTTTCCTTCCTTCTTTCTTTCCTTCCTTCCTTTCTTCCTTTTTTCTTCCTTTTTTCCTTCCTTCCTTCTTTCCTTTCTTCTTTCCTTCCTTCCTCCTAAGATTCAAACTACAGCCCAGGCTGACCTTGAATTTACAAGATAATCCTCAGAGAAGAGGTTCCTGAATGCTAGAATAACCTGAAGGAGCTATGAAGCTCAACTTGAATAACACGTTTAAGACAAGAGCTGGATACTAGCCAGTGCCTCCGCATTACAATGAGGCTGTCTAATTTCCTACAGAAGAACCGAATCTGTCATCCAAATTTCTCCGAGAGAAATCTCACAACCGGCCTCTGATAACTGGGTATTTACAGCAAATGGTGTCTCCTGAAACAGAGACTATGAAGAGTTAAGTCACCTATCAAAATATTGCATGGGTTCAACTAATTATCTACATGACCAAAAAGATTAAAAGACCAATCTAGTTCTTTCTTGAGGATTGGGCACCTAACTAAAAACTGTTATTTTTTCTCTTATTGCTTGATTTTCAGAGGGTAAGGAAGAATGATGGAGGCAAAATAATTCCTTAAAAAATTACAATGAGACTTTGCCCATTGTTCTACATATTTAGTTATTTTTTCCACTGGTGACATTTCTAAGAAGATCTCACAGGCAGACTGAAACTCACACCAGGTACTTTTGTATACCTGGCTTAAATCTACCACAGGGAACCAGGTATGACGGCACACACCTTCAATCAAAGCACTCAGAAGGCAGAGGCAGGGGGATCACTGTGAGTTTGAGGCCAGCCTGATCTACAGAGTGAATTCCAGGACAGCAGTGCTACACAGAGAAACCCTGTCTTGAGAAGCCAAAAAAAGAAAAAGAAAATAGAAAAGAAAAAGGACAAAAGTTCTATCCATGAGTCAAGTGTTTCTTTAAAAAAAAAGAAAACAAAGCCTTTAATATGAATTCTTAGTAATAGGGAGAAACATGCCATTGATATGTTGTCAGTCATCTTTATCCAAAGGAAGAAAAAATAGCACTCTTATCCCTTGAGGAACTACTTACATGAGTAAAAAATAGCCAATAGCTACAAAGCTTGACTCGGGAGCTTACATATGTACACTTCTGTTAGATGTACTTGTTGTCTGGGGATTCAGTGTGTGCTAGGACAGCTGGATCTGCTGGCATTTTCCTTTGACTGCATCAGACCTTGCCGTCTTCCTAGTGCTACACTGAGCTCCGTGACAGAAACACATGAAATCGGTATACTATAGTACACAACAAGAAGATCTAGTGACAACAATCACCAAGGCACGCAAGTCACAGACAAGTCTCCTGGCTCACAAACACTGCTCTAACAGTAGCTTGACACACATGCACATGCAAGCACACATATGTGCACACACATGTACACACCCCATCCACTTATATATGCAACCTGTAGGATTCTGTAGGTCCTTTGAAAATAAAACAAAACAAACAAACAACAAAAAAAATAACAGGTCTTTCCTATCATAGTAAAGAGGAACATTTTTCTGTTCAGGAATAATGGAAGCCCCTGGTGCCTAAGGAAATGCGCTGAATTTTCACCAGACACATAACCTGTAAATGAGAACCTTAATTTTTACCATACCCGGGCAGTGGTAAAACTCGAAAAATCAATACCAAAAAAAAAAAAAGGATACATTATTTGTTTTGGGGTTTTTTGTAGTTAATGAGTAACAACCATAAGTAAAGGATTCACTTTTGAAATATGTGAGTGAAATGTTGATTGATGTATATGATACTGGCCGTTGCGGAATATGCTCGTGTATAAATGACATTTCATTAGCTCTATAATAAACCAAAAAGAGGTGAGTCTTCTAAAAGGGTTAGCCCTCAAGTCTAACACAAGCTCTGCATTCTTACAAAAGATCATGCATTTCTAGGCCCTACGCCTTACAGCCTGTGTGACTGAAGGAGTCTTCAAGCTGGTACACGAACTTCAATGTTAAACCATATAAACTCAGCCACAGAACCTTAAAGTGGGAATTGACAGCATTCACTGTGTCTTTTCCTGATAATCAGAGAAGCATTCCAAGAAAAATCATCCAAAGATTTTTATTGACAGCCTGTCCTTCTTGTTTGCTTGTTTTAAATATTGCATTTGGTTAAGAAAAATCGTAATCCTGTCGCCACCTCAAGATAACACATTTTACACAATTCTATCTTCTGTTTATCTCCCACATGTTATTTTCAAGAAATCAGGAACCAATCCAGTCAGAATATTGCAGTCTAATGGAAAAATAAAAAACTACTGCTTCCTGCACAGAGACATAGAAAGGTGTATCAGAATGAGAAGTAAAGAGCCCTTTGTCAAGCAGACGAGGAATTGTGGGCTGAACGGCTGCTTTTCTATGCGTGAAAACACTGTCTCTATTTCAAAGGTTCCGTGCCAATGTATCCAAACTCCTCCTCAAGAATGAGGAGCTAGAAAACTAGGAGGAGGAGCCCTACTATTGCAGGACTAGCATTTATATCTGTATTTCCCATCTACAGGGAGACCCGACATAAGAAAGCACACAACAGAAAATCTCATAGGATTACCTGGTATTCATTGGGCCAAAAGGTGCTCACTGCCAGCTCAGCCCGAAGCCAGTCTTGACCAGTGAATCCAGTCACATTCCAGATTGGATTAGCAAGTGGTCCTTTATTCACCCGAACCAGGATGTTCAAAGTGCCCGGGTTCAAGCCTTTTTGGCTGTATAACAGGTAACTGAAGTCAATGCAGTGAGTGTCATTCTCCTTCATGGTAGGCAGCTGAAGTCGGGCTTTCTCTCCAGGATCATGATTTGAGGAGTCCACAACCATATAGGAACCTGAAAGAACATTACAAAATAACAGTGCTAAGAAAACAGGTAAGCCAAATACTACCCTATAAAAAATAATAATACTGTGAGAATCCATTCTTTACTAACATTGCACAAACTAGACGCACAAATGATTCATTTCTACAACTTGGAATCAACCCTGTTTTACAAGTAGAAAACTAAGGCATCGATACTGACTCAAGGACATTCAATAAACCAGGCAAAGCCTGGAGATTCTGGTTCGAATCTCCCTCTAAACTTCTGCCGTACTACCAAATTTCAAGCTGTTGAGAACAACCCAAATTTATTGATCTCATGTGCACAGGAAGTAATGTCTTCTTCTTTCTCCCTCAACAAAAATATTAATGCAGGGGGAAAACTACAGGAAGTGGATGAACTTTGCACTTCAAATACCAATATTTTCATTTATTAAGTCATATGCCTTTTGCCAGTTACTAACTACTGAGTACATCAAATCATAGAGTAGGAATACTCTGCCAAGTGAGTATGAGGGTTAATGCTCAACTCTTCTTTCTTTCTACACTTTTTTACAAATGCCTGCATGCATAGATGCGTGCGTATGTATGTATGTATGTATGTATGTATGTGTGTATGTATGTATGTATGTGTGTAGGCACGTGTGGCAACTTGTATGCCAGGACACATGGCTGAAGTCAGAAAACACTCGAGGGAGTCAGTATTCCCCTTCTAGTCTATGGGACTGAGGAACCAACCTCAGGTTTCAAACCCACTGAGCCATTTTGCCGACCCTATTGACCAACTTTTCTAAACTGATTCTGATACATAATTGATGCAATGCGATATTATTCACTACACTGTCAGCCCATTAAGACAACTACTGACCCCAGGCTGCGCTGAACACTGTGTTCTAAAGCTGAGTAAAAGCAAGCATCAAGTCACTTTGTCTAAGTAACTAATCATTCATTTTGATGGTAGCGATGCAAATGACAGAGTCCTACCTTCAGAGCACTGACACTGACCTTTTGACACTTACAAAGGTCACACCATCACTAACTACAACATTGGATGGTGACACTGGGCACCTAAATTAATGCAAGCCGTTCTCCAAAAAGACAGCCTGTGTTCTCATGAAAAAAAAAATTTTAATAAATACATAAATCACAAAAATATGTAAAGATATCATTTTGTCACACTTAAAATTAAAACCAAATTTTACTATAAATCAGTTTCTCCCAGGATATAATTTTAACCGCAATATAAGTAGATATCATGTTACAGAGCTAACTTTTACAAGGGTTCTTAACAGTACACGTGGCCCTCTCTTCCCGAAATGGAGAAATAATCTTCTGTAGTCTGTTCTGACACTTAATAACTTGTACTAATGGCATACTAAAAGCTCAATGACTACTGGTCTACCTATCTCAATTAATCTACAAACTGGAGTTCAAACCATTCCAGAAAGCAAGGCTTCAACTACAGGAGAAATCTCGTTTCCAATCTGGACAGTTCCCACTAGAGTGGACCTTTGTGATCCCAAGCTTTTATGATGATTTTACCTAACCCTTCAGTCCAGTCCAGCAGAGAACACACATACCGTATTAATAGTAATTCCTGTTATTGTTTACTTGTGGTTCCCAGTCTTCAATCTTCTCTCATAAGCTGAATTACATTTTAACTTGATTCTCATGGACAGCACATTAATAAAATAAATCATCTGTGTATTTTGAAAAAACATTTACCAAAAAGGGAAGAAAAGAAAAAAAAACAGGATATCCTGGATCCTAATCTAATTTACAGAAAAGGAATGCTTTTATTCATGATTCATGGCTATTCTCACATACTTAACACCAATAACTTAACACCATCAAAATGTCTTTCCAAATTACCAATTTGCATCATGACTACTTTCTGGTCTTAACCATGACCAGACCTGAGCTCCTACAACAGGTTTTCCAGCATTGTTGGCCTCTTTCTGTGACCTGCTTCTCCACTGGTATAACATTTTATAGGAAATTATGCATTTATTTTTACAAATTTAGCTCCTGACTAGCAGCTTTAAAGTGTGCAGCTAAAAGACTTATTAAACTTCCTAATAGTAATTTTCTTTTATCCTAAAATAAAGTTTGGAGTAAAATATGCTTTGTGTCACATTTTAAATGTGCATTATATTTACCATTAAGACCATTTAGCAATTTTCAGCCATTTGCATTTTAAGCTACAACCATTTTCTTATTAAAGAAATGGAATGAACAAAATCTAGTCATCATTAGTCCTTACCAATCCGATCATTAGGGAGACGAAAGGCACGAAATAAAAGCTTACCCTAACTATTTCAGCATTTTAGTACCACTCAACACGGGTTAAATAATAAAGAAAATTAATGTTGATAACTCACTTCTATGGAATGATCGGGGGAAAAAATAGTCTTATTTACACAGAACCCTGCCTGGCTCCCTGGGCTGAGGTCTGGGCATTAATAATGTACTTACTGAGTAGTTCTGCAAAGGAAGAAGCAATAGGAACAACTGAAAGCCCTGTCTACCCACTTGATACAGTGGCAATTTAAACAGCTGGCTCCAGTGTAGCTACAGCTGGGACAGAGACCTCCACTTAAATGTAGCCAATACTGAGTTCTTATCAGCTTCTAAAGATTCCTTACACAATCTCTGAGAAAACTGGCTAAGTATACATAAAGTTTGTAGATTTTACACATGCGCATAGCCCATTCTTGATGTTAAAAAATCAAGGTTCGTTTAGTGTTATTCTGGTTCCCTCAGATTTCAAGTAAATGTTCAGTGGTGTTTGATAGAGGCTTAGCTATCAGAAGGTTTAGTGACGGCAAGTCACACAGATGTGGTGTATTTCGTTAAAGGTAATTTCTTTGATGTGGGGTTAATATTTTCCATGGTCACTTCAGCAAAGGCTTCAGCAATGCTTCACTCAAAGAAGAATACTTAAATTTATGTGTTTGCATAATTTTTTTAGTGCAACTTTCTGGAGAACACTTTGCCAGTAAGAAACAAAAGCTTGAAAGAGACATAAGCACTCTGGTGTAGCAATGCAAAATTGATAAAGTGCAAGAGAAAATGTTGTGTGTGAATTAACAAAGACACAACTGAAAAGATAACTCATCTCATTATATTAATTAAAATGGAAAAAATAAAAATATATAAATATTTAATAATATATAACTAATAAAGGTATGGATAATGAGTTTGATGAACAATGAAGTAGCCATTAAAATATCATCTAAACATTTCATGGTAGATATTCATAATATAGTAGGTGAAAATATGGAGGTTATAAACTGTTACATCTTTCCATCACTGTGTCAAAATACCTATGGAAATCAACTAAAGAAAGATAAGATTTATTTTGGCTGATGGTTTCAAAGGTTTCATTTCATGGTCACTAGGTGTCAGAACCTATGGTAGGAGGCACACAGAAGAGCTATTGACAAGATACATGAACAAGATAACACTCTCAGCAAGCCCCTACTTCAAGCAGACCCTACCTCCTAATAAACTACTCCACAACAAGAATATCAGTGAACCAATCTGCTGAGTATGTCAAAGCTCCTCATAATTCAAACACATCTCCAGAACCTCACTCTTCAATAATGCTACAATGGGAAGAAAGCTTTATAGCTTTGGTATCATTTTATATTGAAGCAATAGGAACACATTTATAAATAACTTCTTGCACATGAATTTAATTATACACATGAACATTGAGAATGGAAAAATAAAGAACTTAGAGACAAATGCTGAGTGCATTATCAGGAGGCAGAAACTGCCTTGACATTTTTGCTTCTGTACATGTTATGAATCTCTTAAAAGAATGCATAAATACCATTATCTGTAATTGAAGAATAATAAATATTTGATGCAAGGTATTGGCCTTTTAAAAAGTCATCATTGCCAAAGGGGGTAAAAAAGTCTTTTATTAAAAAATACCATCATCTAATACATCCATGCAAAGTGTCGTGGACATATTATAGCAATAACATTTTATCTTTAAGTTACACTCCTAGGGTTAACACTACTTTAGATTATCATATTGATAGGAAAGACACAAATCCCCTTGCATTTCTCAAAATTCCCCTGTGCATATATGCAAGAGTATATAATTTTTAGACTTTGGCATGCTAACATAGTATTTCACTAAGCTGGTTATTCAAAATACTTAAGATGTCTTACAAATTAAGAGATAAACTTAGAAGCCATGGCTTTCCCTCCTCTTGATTCAAAATGCTTAGATCCCTTTAACTCTTGCTTCCTTGACAAATCACTTTCCCCAATCTGACAGGCCTACCAAGATTTTCCTTCACACAAAACAATAGTTTCTTCCCCAGAACAGGTTCCTAGTTTGAATTTTTGATTCGGGTGCTTCATCATATGTTATCTTTACCCCAATTTTAGATAAGTATCATGGGGAGTCTTTGTAAGGGCCATCCTGTTCAAGACAACGAACAACCCCGAGGACCAGCGAGAACAGGAAGTACAGGTGCTTACTGCCAAGCCTTATGAACTGAGTTGAATCTCGGAACACTTATGGTGGGAAGAGAAGACTGGCTGCTCCAAGCTGTGCTCTGACTGACATGTGTACATTTGCATATGCACACCCGCACACATATGCACACTAACACACAGATGTATTTCATGAAAGAAAAGAGAGCCGTGTCCTCTCACACGACTGATGTAGGCATTGATCCTAAGAGTGAAGCCTCATCGTGAGTTTAACACAAAAGTAGGGAAACTTGAAGCATGAGAAGGGAAGATTGTTAAAAAAGATGTAAAGAGAAGCTTACGAAAACCTAGTGCCCCTGAAGACATCAGTGTGGAAGAGGGTGAGGATGGGGTGACTCTCTGACAGTTCTTCTTAAAGGTTTGGCTGGCTGCTGGAGACATTTCCTGAACTGTTTAGGCTGGAGTGGGGGCACAGATGCAAGAAAAGCAAAGAGTCTCCTTCTGCAAGAGACTGTGAGTGCAGGGCCTACGAAATGTCACAGTGGTCACCAGCCAGGA